TTGGCTCATCAAGGCGATTCCCAGAGGATTTGCATGTGATTAATGGGAGGATGTATCCTAGTACACTACATAGGGACAATGGCTAATAAAAAGCTATTGGAATAAATTTATTTCACGATATGCGCCAAAAACAATACCTAACTTTCCCCTAACTCATTGGCTTGTTGTTTTTATGTTGCGGGTCTTCCCACGAGCCACTACCGCTTGGTAGAGGGACGGGACGTAACACACGCACAGAGATTAATAAATATATTAATGTTAGTAAAAATACATTAAAGATATGTGTGTTCTGTTTTCTTATCAGCTTGTATTTATTTATATATACATTTATTTATTTAGTGTTAATTTATTCCTGTATTTATTTCCACATTTATTTATGTATTCCTGTATTCATTTATTTTTTCTAATGTATATTTATTGCTGTATTTTTTACTACATGTATTTATTTAATTTTTTTCCTCACATTTATTTCTTCTTGTATTTTTGTATTCTTGTATTTATTCCTGTATGTATTCCTGTATTTATGCATTTATTTATTTGTTACTCTTGTCATGTTCTGTCTTCAATACCTGGCAAAATCATATCACAACAACACCTTTAGTTGGGTGTTCAATTTGTTCTAAAACACATTGGTGGTCCAGAGGTTTATCCATTGTTTTTTCATGCAGGTGCTCGAGGTTCAACACCCAGGGGAGGGACATCTGTTGTCTTCTGCGATGCTAATATTACATTTGGAGAATTACAAAAATAAAATAAAACTTTTTCTAACAAAGTGACGCCCATGGTTATAGCTAAAGTGGCATAGACGCAAAAGTGGCACAGCAGATAAAAACATGCATGCAATAACACATAATTATGATTAAAGCATCAATAATTATAATCATATGTATGAAATGGGACAATCTGCATAATGACTATACTTTTACTTTCTTAAGCATATTTTGATGCCAATACGTTTTACTTTGACTTGAGTAACGTTTTGATTGCGGGACATTGATTTGTAACAGAGTGTTCCTACACACTGGTACTTATACTTTTACTTAAGTACACGATCTGAGTACTTTCCCCACCTCTGCCTAGTCGTATGCCATAGTTTTTCCATGAAGATAGCAGACCAAAAATACTTTATGATGATGGGGAAGCAGCTTCAAGTCACCAGCGTGCGAACGTACGTGCGGGCGCAGTGACGTCCGTGTCCCAGAATGCAGTCTGGTAAACAGACATGGAAGCACCAGGTGAAGACCTCCACAGAGGCTGAGCTCTGCACTCGCTCTTTCCCACCGTCTTCTATCTCCTTCGCCCAGTGCATCCCGTTGATATACACCTGCCTGGTGTCCCGTTTACGCCTACATCACCCACAGCCTTGGTAAGAGTGAAGTTGTTCTCGATCCGTGACGACTGCTAATGACTTCTGCTGTGCTGTCAGCCTTCTCGCTAGCGCTAGTCACGGCTAGCTACAAGCTTCAGCTAGCATGCTAATGTAGCCACAGTGCTCTAGTAGCGTTAGTACCAGTCACAGCCCCACACTGCATGGAGCCTGTTTTCATGACATAACTTCTGGTAGACTCTGTGTCTCTTTTGATATGCTGTACTTATAATTATCGTTTACTCTGCCGATTATATTGTTTGATACAATGTTAATGTGGTTAGTGTGTATAGTAGTGGTGGGTGCTTGCTTTCTTGGTCTCTGCTAGCTAATGTCAGCTAGCTAACAACTTATCAAGTTGTGCACCTAACCTACTTGTCAATGTCAAGTAGTAAGCATTCTAAATTACATAATCTAATTTGCCAATCATAGCCTTTGATATACTGTCTTTGTACAACCCAACCCACGATTTGTTTACTTTGCAATATAGCAGGTTGTTTGGAAGGACAATGTTACATTGTTTACATTATATTCATTCAATCTTAGTAGTAGTAGTAATATACAGTGTATTTAGAAATATGTTGAGGCTGGGTGACAATTCAATATGATGTAAACTTGCCTCTCAGTGTAATCATATTTTGATAATATTATGTTATGGTTAGTTATACACAATCCTGTTGTCAAAATGACATGTTTTCATGCAATTTTTCAACGATTTTTTTTAATTTAATGTGAGCAACAAACATCTGAACAGACTTATTGCTTTGAATGTCAGTTGATTATTTTATGTTATTTTGCATATGCTTGCCATGTGATGATTTACACCCCTTATGGACAGAATACGCAGGGTACAACCTGCTACATCTGTACGGACACAGAACAGCCACCATTGAACAACCACTCTGAAGCACACTGTCTGTATTTCTCATTAGGCTTCTGGCTGCAAATGTGTCAAGTCTCAATGTTCATTACTTAACTCTCATACAAGCAGTTCAGTCTGTAAGTATTTGGCAGTTGACATATTTGCGTCAGCTAAAACAAAATAACGGCTATAAGATTACACTTGACATTTTATTCCAAGGCTTCATTGCCGTGGTTCTTATTACACTTATGTGAAAGGTTAATGGAATGGAGACATTTTTTTTTTAATGATGTACAGGAAATATTACGCCTTTTTTTTATTCAAAAAATTCCAATCAAAGAAAAATGCTAAGAGCTCCAGTTTATGTTTAAGCCCAGATTTATATCCACATTACCCACACTTCTTGAAGCACCAGTCCAATGGCTGAAGCAAGATAGAGTTTCTTACACTGCAGTTCCTCTCATATTCTGTCCATGTTCTTAGAAAGAAAGGAACGATTACTGGTAGCTCTATCATACAAATGAATTCCAACTCCCTGTAGCATATTATCAAACGATCATTTGTATGTTTCCAAGTCAAACACACATCCTTACTTAAACTTCAAGATATTCGGCTGAGTTTGAAGTTTCTGGGCTTTAACATGCTACAGCAAAAATATATAGCTGCAACGCATCTGACGAACCACCTTTGAAGTATGATGCACATTTAATCAAATTGAAGTCCAAGTAAGTGATCGTAATTCATACACAGCACTTATATTGTATGTCTTAAAGTGGCTTTTGCTTAAGGAAGTTACATTTATGAATATATTACAATATGTCTTGCATCAGTAAAGACAACAAAAACACGAAAATAGGGTACAATCTCTGTGTTTGAAGGGATTACAGCGGGGCTGGGGAGGGCGGTTAGAGATGTTGCTCAATGGGTTGGATTACTGCAAAGTGGTGAAGAATTCAACAACAAGGCCCTGGGAGGAAAGTCAGAATCAGAATACCTTTATTAGTCCCACAGAGGGGCAATGTACGTTGTTAGAGCAGGCAAAGAGCCACAGACAGCTTAATGTTACATAATATGTTACATGCATAAAAAAGTATTAAAGTGTTCCCTTCCTAATGATTCCATATTCACATGAACTCTATCCAGAAACAACAAAACAAAGTCCCTGATAACTGACTCATCTACTTTCAATGCTTGTGTGTGTGACTGTGTGTGTGACTGTGTGTCCATAGACGTCCTCTCCAGTGTGTGTGGCTGCCAGAAATCACCAAAACTGATGAGGATCGGCTGATAAACTTAAAAATAAGTTATTTTTTTCTTATTTTGCCAAGGTAAGATCCCACAGCATACGAACGTTACTATATTTTATAGCTGTACAATAATCACAAGTCGTTGTATAGTGCTTACAGATGTTTGTAGTTGTTGCTTACTTAACGACATATTGGAGTTCAGTATAGAACATTTAAATGTTTCAATCAAACCCGATGGAACCAAATATTCTTGCCTGGCTTTGAATATCATGGAGGGTTTTAAAAAGAACTATACATGGAGTAATGATACAATTAGTGTATTAAAGTATAGTTAGGTAGTATCTAGCTAACAGGAAAATAACAACTAAGTACAACAGCTCTGAAATGAGTAACATTTATTTGCTTAGTGAAATACTTTGTTCACTTTTTGATAAGACTACAGCAAGAGTGTGTTGCCTATTGAGGCTATAGGTTGCACCAGTGTTTCCCCTAGGTTTACTGCTTTGGGAGGGTGCTGCCTGAGCCGTCGCTGCCCTGAGCCGGGGGGGGGAGGGGGGGATATAGTAACTTTTTATCCTCAGAGAGGAGCTGTGGATTATTGTTATTGGATTAATGGCATCATGTTGTTTTCTTAGTGGGCAAAAACACTAAACTCCACACTTAAAATGAGATGCGTTACTTTCCAATATAAGACACATGTTCAATGTGAAAAGTGGAGCGAGGTAAAAAGTATTTGAATTACTATACAATTTGGTGCTATATACACACTAATACCTATCACTTAAATTCAAAAAAACTCACAGCTCCCCGCGCGGCGGCTCGTGGCGGGGACAGCGCGCCCCCTCACAGCAACAACTGGCTAGCCGGCAAACCTGGGCGTTAGCCATGTTGATGCTACTATGGGTGATGCATCGCCGCAGCATTCTCGTTCTTATTCGTGTTTATTTGACTATGTAGTAGGCAAAACTACAGATACCTTCTTTCAAAT